TAGGGGGGGGGGGGGGGGGGGGGGGGGGGGGGGGGGGGGGGGGGGGGGGGGGGGGGGGGGGGGGGGGGGGGGGGGGGGGGGGGGGGGGGGGGGGGGGGGGGGGGGGGGGGGGGGGGGGGGGGGGGGGGGGGGGGGGGGGGGGGGGGGGGGGGGGGGGGGGGGGGGGGGGGGGGGGGGGGGGGGGGGGGGGGGGGGGGGGGGGGGGGGGGGGGGGGGGGGGGGGGGGGGGGGGGGGGGGGGGGGGGGGGGGGGGGGGGGGGGGGGGGGGGGGGGGGGGGGGGGGGGGGGGGGGGGGGGGGGGGGGGGGGGGGGGGGGGGGGGGGGGGGGGGGGGGGGGGGGGGGGGGGGGGGGGGGGGGGGGGGGGGGGGGGGGGGGGGGGGGGGGGGGGGGGGGGGGGGGGGGGGGGGGGGGGGGGGGGGGGGGGGGGGGGGGGGGGGGGGGGGGGGGGGGGGGGGGGGGGGGGGGGGGGGGGGGGGGGGGGGGGGGGGGGGGGGGGGGGGGGGGGGGGGGGGGGGGGGGGGGGGGGGGGGGGGGGGGGGGGGGGGGGGGGGGGGGGGGGGGGGGGGGGGGGGGGGGGGGGGGGGGGGGGGGGGGGGGGGGGGGGGGGGGGGGGGGGGGGGGGGGGGGGGGGGGGGGGGGGGGGGGGGGGGGGGGGGGGGGGGGGGGGGGGGGGGGGGGGGGTGGGGGGGGGGGGGGGGGGGGGGGGGGGGGTTTATGCTGCATGTGCTACAAATGCAAAAAGAAGTTGGTTTACTTACCTTTTATTTTCCTCCAAAATATGATTATGAGTGAATAAAATTTGCCCCAAATCTAGTCTTTTCTAGTCCTTAGCAATGATTTATCCTAGCACCACAGCCAGACAGAACTTGTCGTCGTTTTATATAGTGATTCTTTTATAAGATTATCAATTAACACCTATTTTGGTCTTTGATGATGTTTCAGACCTATAACTGATTATAATGAGGTTGCTACCCACTTCCTTGAATGTATCTATGTCCATCACTGCAATAGGAAGTCTCAGGTATAAATCTAGCTTCTAAAAACAATGAGTTTTATATACAACATCTTTTTTTTACTCTCAATAACCCCACTTGTAGAATAACTTCTAGACTTTTATCCATATGAATACAGAGTGGTCTCTCTGTCTCCACTCCCAGCAAATCTGATGTGCCTGCAGCAGTTAGTGCCCCTTCAAGTGGATACAATTCCAATCAAGTTAGTATTGACCATACAGTAAATGATGATTTCAGATTGCCATTCTACTTTTCATCACTCTTGATGATTTTGTTTGATTATCTGCTTCATCCATTATTTCTTTCAGTTCTCTGCAAATTTGAGCATTGATGGACTCAAGGGCATAGAAAAGATTGTTATAGATTATTTGGAACAGCCGTCCTCACTGTAAGTTGTTTAATATGCTGTTAATCATAACACTGATCATGCTGTTCATAGCTTCTCTTTGGTTGACAAGTGGTATGCTTTCCCAACGACGGTCTAGTTTTCTAGAGTTCAAACTAACTTGACTATGTAACTTGAAGATATATTTGGGTTTGGTTTACTCTCCATCTCAACTTGAATGATGCCCTGTTCATGTTAAATTCAGATTCTCTTAAAATGAAAGCACTTGAAATCCCTGATTCTTTGTAATTTTAGTTGTATGTATTTTGTCGTTTTTCTCATTTTGTTCTTCAAAAGCATACAATAGAAGGGAGTAACATTACCTTTGGGTCACACTTATTTCTGAGGGTTAAACAGTATCTAATTGGTAGCCACAAGAATATAGGGTTTACCTGAGTTTGGGTAACTTCTTTACTGTGATCAACTTGTGAAGCTAGAAAATTACACTTGTCATTCATTCACTCATACATACATATGCATACAGAGACATATTCACATTCACATTCACACACAGCCCAAATCCTCTGAGCAGACAGTGAAAACAACATGATTTATCTATCTTAATTCTGCAATGAAGACAGAATGCTCTGAGAGGTCAGCAGCTTTGAAACTACTACCTGCGTGTGACCTCTATATATGAACTTCTGGAGACTGCTGACTTAACCTGCTGAAGGGATTTTATTTGACATTACTGCCACTTCTTTAAACCAAACATTTACTGAAAAAAGACGGTATATTTAATAAAAGCAGAATGTTTTCCCCAAACTATTATCTGGAAAATGTTATATGATGAAAGCCATCATTGGAATAATTTTAGTGCTTAATTGGTTGTGCATATTTCTAGCATTTAATAAATAAGGTTGACTGGAATTGTGTTTTGGTATGGAAATCTAAAATAAAAACAATGTCCTCTGTTTGTAGGAGTAGGTGGTATTTGTTAGTGGAGGGAGTCACAATAGTTATACCCTTTAGAGAGCAACACATCAAAATATGGCAAATTTTACATCAAACTAGTAAAAGGAGCAAGATTTCCATGATTTATTTGGAAATCAAGATCGATATCATTTCCTAGAGAGTTAAAACACAAGCACCCCAGTTTTGCCTTTTGTGGAGCACGTAGTCTGCTGCCGAGCAATTTTGCAGTCAACTGTTTCTTAATACCATCCTGTAATATTGTAAAAGATACCTTTTGAAGATGTTGCATTCATCTTTGTTTGAGTTGATCATGTTCCCCAACTCTAGATTGCAAAACTTACAACATTTCCATGTTCAGTGCACAGGAGAAAGGGATACACCGGAATGAAATTGCTCAACACCTTAGAGTTCCTTTGGAGAAAATCAAGTATATCTCTTTATCCACCACACAGAAAGATATAGGACAATTTTGTTTCTCATTTTCATTGCATGCAGGATTGTAACAACCTCCTACTTTGTAACCTAAATCATTTTTTTAATCTTGATAGGGAAGCAATAGAATCTCTTGAATCGGAAGGGCTGGTTTACTCTACCATTGATGAATGTCACTTCAAGTCAACAAGTGCTTAAAACTTTGCTTGCTTACATGCTCAGGGAATCAGAGGAAAGATGATAGTTAGCTTGACCTCATCAAATATATCAAGTTTTAGGAACTGATTTCTGTCATTGCAGTCTAGCTTTTTGAATTGAAGTCGATTTAAGGACAAACCTCCTTTAAGAAGTATTTTTACTTTTATTTGTCAAGAGTCATGGATATGTTGCCACTCCTGTTTTGGTGTAAAGAATTGTCCATGGAAGCAGATCTTTAGTCCTGCAAATATCTCCAATGGAATGGTGCTTTTGGCAGACCAAGTAGTGGAATCACTCTATGTTTACTTTCATTTATTGGTTGAACGATAACCAATTCTCTTTTATTGAGAGCATTGGTCAACTGACCTAAACAATACAACATCAAAGGAGAGTGCAAAATTGGTTTGTTAAGAAGCAGATGCATTCTAATCAGATTTGAATTAATTGAAGACTTTGTAAATATGAGGTCTAAAAACTCAATACTTCATCACTAATAAGGATGGGACATCACTAAGAAGTTCAAAGTTGATGAAGAGACTACCTAAGCTATGACATGGATTTCTTTCCCTCATCTTTTGGCCAACTTTTTTCTGGGAAGAAATCATTATTTTCATTAGTTGCTGCCTTTGGAAAGCCTATTCACATGGATATGGCTACAACAAATAAGACTAGCCCTAGTCGTGCAAGGGTTAAAGTTCAGGTTAATCTAAGGAGAGTTACCTAAGTTTGTTGAACTAGAGATAGAGGATACCAACTCCGGGGCTTCAAGAATTGAAAGAATTAAAGTGGTGTTTATGATATGCTACCATAAGTAGTTTTGCCTTTTGTGAAATTGAGTTGAGTTGGATGACCGTTTGACCTTGACCTTCGTAGAGGAGTATGTTGCTATTCTAGCCAGAGATGTGCGACGGTTGCATTCGAGAGTCATTCCAATGGTTAAGGTTTATTGGAAGCATTGTCCAGTTGAAGAATGAATGAATTATATTAGGATACACTTTATTTGCTAAAATATTGACATTTTAACATTTTTAATACTAATTATTTTAAAGTGTAAATGTTTTCAATAATTATGTTAGAGATTTTGACTAGTTAACTAATTTTTAAAAATGTGATATGTTTAACAAAAGAAATGATTTACTAATCGTCCTTAGAGTGGTGGTGTCCCCTCCTCCTCCGCTTCTCCACATACATGCAATATCTTTTCAACACATTCTCTTTTATCCCATTAATTATTACTAACTCCTTTTCCCTTTATCTTTTTTTTTTTAATTCTTTTTTGTCACATAACTCTTTTTTTTTCCTTTTATAAAGTTTCTCTTTCTTTGTTGAAGATACAGACAAGAAAGGCCGCTAGTCATTTCATAATATCCTTCCACTTGCTTTCATCTCCATTATTTCTTTACACATTCATGCACTGTAAAGTGTAGACCCATCAATTTTTATTTTTTTTAGGATTTATTTTGATTTGTTATGGAATTTGAAAAAATATTTTTTTAAAAAGTTTTAATGATTCTAAACTAAAGTTTGCTAAGTGAAAAATTGAAATTAAGATATTGTCAAAAATGAAATTTAGAGGAGTCATTTTTTAAACAGATGAAAAGGAAAAGTAGATCATTATTTTTTAAAGTACTTTATTTTGGAAGATTCAACTTTATTTAGTGATCAGAAGTACTTTGTAATGTCATTAGTTATCTTCGTGATAGATATTAAGTGAAATGAAGTTCAAGTAATTGTTGACATGAGGATGAATTAGGGTTTCAACTTCATGTTTTAAATATATTAAATTTAATGTTTTATTAAATATATTAGGTAGCAAGGATAAAATAGATATAAAGAGTAAAATAATCTCTTAATTTTTTAAACTGTACAAGTATGATTGAATATTTATTTTTAATTTAATAAATAAGTAAAGATGAACGGACGTAGGAAGTATTAGATAATAAAATAATAATGTTATCTACAATTAATCTTCTAATTAATTAGTAGTAGTAAATCTTGTTCATAGTTTTAGTTTATCTTTCAAACGTGAATCAATATATAATCTCTAAACGTAATACTGATCATCATCAAATATCAAATTAAATAAGTATGAAGAGAAATTATTAGTAATATGTTTCAACCATTTTTATCCCCACAACACAAGCGAGACGCCTCGATTCTCGTGCATACTTATCTCTCTCTCTCATATATATCTCTATATTAATGTCTTACTCTTTCACATTTTACATTTAAGCCTCTAATTTCCCCTCTAAAAATCTTGAAGCACCAAATTTTTAGCACTTGTACGTTTCCCAAAGAAAAAAAAGAAGAAGAAGCATTTCACGTTCACCAACGATAATGGATATGAATTCTTCTTGTGAGAAGTGGCTTGGCTTCTCACTTTCCAATATCAACAACTTGCCACCTTCTACTACTAATTCTTCACAACTCTCCATCTTCCAAGCTTTCAACTCCAACCCTAATAGTAATATTCTCTTCTTCCTTTTCTCTTTACATGTATACACAGGCGCGGAGCCAGGATTATGAGTTTGTGGTTCACAAATTAAGATATATATATATTTATTTATTTATTTATTTAATTTTTTAGTACAAATATAGAATCTATTGAAAAGCTTATTGAGTTCGTCTGAACCTACGAACCACCACTTAGTTCCGCCTCCGCCTCTGCATGTATGTATATTGGTGTTTTCCATATAAAAAAATTAATTAATGATGATATACATATTTTATAGGTTGGGATGTGAGGCAAAATGAAAATGGTGCACCAAAGCTTGAGAATTTGTTGGGATCTTCTTATTGTGAGAGTAATACAACTACTAGTTGTGAATATGGGTCAGAGTTGAAGAGGATAGCAGCTACTTTTCTACCTACCTTTACTGATGATCACAAAGACAAGTTGCCTCTAATTGTCACTCAACCTAAGAAGCCACACGAATCATTTGGACAACGCACTTCTATTTACAGAGGTGTTACTAGGTGAACATTATCATTCGTTTTTATTTTTATCTTTTTGAATTAACATATGTTATTATTTTTATCTATACCTTTGTTGTTTTTGTGTGTGTTTTAGACATAGATGGACAGGAAGATATGAAGCTCATTTGTGGGATAATAGTTGTAGAAGACAAGGACAAAGTAGAAAAGGGAGACAAGGTATCTAGTTTTAGGGTTTCTCTCCTTGCAAATTAAAACTTTTTTTAAGTAAATCAATAGTGTTTTCAGTTATCCTCGTTACGATTTTTATTTGGTTTCAATATGGAAGCAATATATGTCATGATTCCAGGAGTCTATCACGTATAAACTTTAAGGGCCTAAGTAATTAAAACTAGTTAGTTTTTGTTGATTTACGTTATTTTATGAGATCTGTACGTAGTTCGATTTACATAATTTTTCCCAGGAATTGTTGTAAGCTTGAATGTGTAGAATTTGAATAGGATGTTAATAACAAATGTGATATACTATAAAATATGAAATGCATAATAATGAGGAATATGGGCTAATTTTGTTTTGTTTCTATGTGAATGTACCATCAAATGATTGTGGCCCTGGACGAATTAAATCATCATTGCGGAATTTCAGTTTACTTAGGTGAGTATTGATTATCCAAAATCTTTTTTTTTTACAATTACTATATACTCTTGGTACAAGATTCTTTTTGCAATGAATATGTACGTGTTCAGACCTTTAGATTCTCTTTGGATTCTTATTTTCTAAAACTTTTTACCCCTTCGGTTCAATTTATCACATTTCAGATTTCGAGATTAAAACAAATTTATTTTTTATCGTAAATTTTTCATATATTTTTTAAATATTTTGAATTGTCAATTATTGTCACTTATACTATTTTTTATATAGTTTACAAATATATAAATTTCATTCAAAAAAATTGAAAATTTCATACGTAAATTTTCGATCAAACTTAAAACTTTCTGATTCTCGAAAAATGAAATGTGTTACATAAATTGGTACACGCGAAAGTATAAAATTAAGATTTGTATGTTCTCATCTTTTTATGATTAGGTGGTTATGATAAAGAAGAGAAAGCAGCTAGAGCTTATGATCTTGCTGCCCTCAAGTATTGGGGTCCGACCACTACCACTAACTTTCCGGTACTAATTAATTTAAAACACAAATTGAACAAAAAAAAGAGGGAATTATTTCTAATTATTAATTTTTTCTTTTATTTTATCTATACATTGAGATATAAAATTCTAGTGGTGTGTGTTTAAAAGGTATCAAACTATGAGAGGGAGCTTGAAGAAATGAAGAACATGACAAGACAGGAATTTGTTGCATCTCTTAGAAGGTTAAAACTCTTAATTATGTTACTTTTTTAATAATATGTCTGCTAAATAAGATTTAGCAATAAATCTTCATAGAATTTGCCATCGCTAATTCTTAGTTTTGTGGTGTTGTTATATTTTCATCTAAATAAATGCTTTTATCGTCTCATTATATATATTGGACCAAATAATGCGTAATCTTATGATATACTATTTGTTATTATAGGAAAAGTAGTGGATTTTCAAGAGGAGCTTCTATCTATAGAGGTGTCACACGGTCAGGAATATTATTTTTATAATATACAATTACTTATTTTGGTATTTTTATTTTATTTTTGGTTTCTACTTCCTTGGTTCAACAATAGTTGTCCATACTAGAAATAGTTGTCCAACAATACTTGTCTAATTTTAAAAATTAAGAGATAATTTACCTTTTGTGTTCATTTTACTCTTGCTGTTAAATACTCTATTATTTATCATCTAACATATTTTTCAAAGCATTACATTTAATAAAGTCAAAGCATAATATAGTAATATCATACCTATTATTTATATAATTTCTTAAGGGGTATGTCAAGTCAATAATGGACAACTATTGTTGGACAGAGAGAGTAGAAGTCTAACTAAATTTGAATTTACGTAGAAATTTTTTACATTGATAGTAAAATCTTTCCTAAAGTCTAACAAAGACGATTCTGTACCTTATGGAACTAATATAACATTTTTTTTTAAATTTTAGACACCACCAACATGGTAGATGGCAAGCAAGAATCGGTAGAGTGGCTGGAAACAAAGATCTATATCTTGGAACTTTTAGTGAGTTTTTTTCTTCTTTAATTCATTATTAATATTATATATCCATTTTTGTTTTTTTCCCCACCAAATTAAATTAAATGAATTGAACATGGAAAAATGTCGGAACTAAAATTATTCAACAACACTCACTGCATTGCTGCTATTTGTTAACATTTGCGGTGGATTCCCTAAAATATCTCTCTGAATTAGGTTAAAGGTTTGACAATAAATGAGATACGTGGCTCTTTTTATTTGGTCTTATAAAAGGCGGCACAACATCAATTTTTTTTTGTTTTTATCAAATTTTTTTTGTTTTTATATTCTTGTTGCCCATGGTTTTTGTTGATGGTATTTTTCATAAATAATAAAATAAATATGCTTTTACTTTGAATCCCTTTCCTATCTTCACATCATAGAAGAATCTTTAAAATTTTTAAAAATAATATATTTAGGGTCTGTTTAGCCCTGCGATGTAAAATCATGTTGTAAATTAGTTAATGTTTTGTTTGGACATGTAATTTGAACTTTTTTTGTTATATGTGTAAAAATTCCATAAGTTTGTAAAATATTAAAATTGTCTTAATTCTTTATATATTTTTATCAAATAATTACAAGTTTATAAAATTACATAATACACCGTTATAAAAATGTTCTTAAAAATATATACAATATTTATTGATTGATCAATTAGCTCTAATTCAATAAAAAAAATATTAAATATAAGTTATGGTGTACTAGTCTTTAATATGTAGTACGAACAATCTTCTTACGTAACTTGTGTTTTTCGTTCATATGACTGAAAAGACGAACCAACATTGTTACTTGAGTCATTTATTGATCTGGTAAATATATTTGATAAAAAATAATAAATTTAGTAAATATAAATGGTAAATTAAAAATTAATTTGAAGCAATAATGTAACATACCACAAAGAATTACGTGCTCATTTGAATCATGGGACAATTAATGAAAATATGATGCAGAACCAAAATGGGTAAGCACGTGGAATTATCTTTTTAAAATTTTCTCTTCAACGTGGTGGGGTGTCAGTATTTACTTTCATCATGATCATACTGATTTTGTTATTATTATTATTTTGCGATAATGTTTTATCGATAGCCTTATTATAAAATTGCGATAATTAATTAAATACAGGCACCCAAGAGGAAGCAGCAGAGGCTTATGATATCGCTGCAATCAAATTCAGAGGACTAAATGCAGTAACAAATTTCGACATTAGTCGTTACGATGTTAAAAGTATTGCTAGTAGCAATCTCCCTGTTGGAGGAATGAGTAACAAATCCAAAAGCTCATCGGATGAAAGTACTAAAAATGTCGAAAATCGACCCAACGATATTTCCTCTGCTCCTAATTTCCCATCACAGAATCCGAGTATGGTCAACTTAGGTTTCGGATTGCCTATAAAGCAAGATGCATCCGATTTCTGGTCAAGCCTTGGATACAATAACGATCAAAACAAAAATGGTTCGTTATTTCAGGGTACAACTATGAATGCACAAGGTACTACATTCTTCAGCAATGAAGTCAACAATAGTAATGTCATGTTCAATGAACAAGGGTACTATAATCATGATCAACAGCAACAAAGTGGCGGTTCTAGTAGTGAAATAAGTATGGCTTTAAATAGCAATATTGCCACTACAACTACTACTATTGATAGCTCTAGTTTTGGTAATTGGATGACACCTTCTCTTCATTCATTCCAAAGTAGTGCAAACAATAACCTAGCACCATTTCATACCCCAATATTTGGCATGGAATAATGGTAAGCTATATTGCTCGGATTTTTCAAACAATTTAACAGGTGTTGAATTCGTCAAAAATAATGTATTTTTGAAGAAGGAAGAGTCTGAGCAACTAAGATGGCAAGGGTAGGGAAATGAAGGGACAAGTTTTGATTTTTACCTTTTTTTGTGTGTTTGAATGGGGTTTTAGTTTGTCACCTACCAGAGGAGAAGCTAAGTGGATTGGTCAAAAAAGTGAAAATTGCTTTTTGCATGGGCAAAGAATGGGACGTACAATCATTTCACAGCAAATAAAGCAAGGGTACTAACTTGAATCTTTTTATTTTTAATCATTAGTTTCTCTTAATTAGTTCATTACCTTATAATTATGTTCTTTTGTTTGTTTGACTGACATGATTTATCTAGTTGTTTTATGACTAGAAAAATCCCTTTTGTACATTCTCATCGTGTACTGTTTTCATTTCAATAAAATTCAGCACATGTATGATATACTCTCTTTTTCTATGAATCTTTTTGGTAAAATACATCAATAGTGCTTCATTTTGATACTTAAATTGTGACATGTCCAATTGAATACTTGAATGTGATAGAACATAATGAGTGTCCGTAAACATGTACAAAACCATTTCTAAAATAAGATAATAGAAGTACTTTGTTTTGCGATTTTGAGAATCTAGAACAAGCTATAATTCGATTATCTAAATAAAATTTACCACTAAGTTTCACGGGATGTATTGTAGATGGATTTAGCCTATCCTTTTCATTGGAATGATGAGTACTAGATCATACAACAGGTTTTTTAATTCCTGCCCTCTTCATAGCCAATGGTTTTTTAACCCCAACGAGTCAACTTTTTTATGGCTTTAATTAAATTGATGACAAAAAAATCAAAATTTAAGTAGCAAGTTTAAATATGGTTCAATATAAATGATTTTGAGTTGAATTGTGTCATGATTTAAAAATTTGGAATCGTAGAAACATCTATGTAGCCTGATAAGTAATGCTTTCAGATGTTTTGATGATCTCCTCACAAGTGCAGGGACCCGGTCCTCTGCAGAGTATGCTCGTCTAGGGTCATATGCTATACAATTGTAAAGCTGTATGCGTCAGAAGGTTGGTGAGACGCCAGTGTCCTGAACCAATCACAACGAACGAGGTTGCTTGTACGTTGGACAATAGCTCTTCATAGTTGATATATTCAACATACAAACAACAAATTATTCATTCATTCAAAGAGAGACTTTCAAGCTTCAAAACAGCAGAGACCTGATAGAGTGTTTATTGCTTTTGTACCAGCTGTTACTTTGGGTGCTTGTAATCGTGCTTATATTGTCAGAATCATGTCGTTTGTGATAGAAACATTTCAAGCTTGTGTGAATCATTGTAAGAACTTAGTTGTGAGTAATTTAGTGTCTTACATCAAAGTCTATATTAATCAGTCAGGATTAGTATAGTGGGCAGTGTTGTATCTGCTTAGGCTTGGTTAAGTAATAGGTGATATTACTTTGTGTGGAGATTAGCAAGTTAATCTCATGTTGTACACTGCGTTTTACTTTTGCTTGTGAAGATTAGTGAAAGCAGTTTGAAAATCCCTGTGAGACAGGTCGTGGTTTTACTTCCTTGAGCAAGGAGGTTTCCATGTAAAGTTGTGTGTACAATCTTTACGTTCAACATTTATTTACATTATGTATTTATTTGCTTTTGTCATTATAAATTGTGCTGAGGACCTGGTCCTATCAGAGCTAAGTGAACGCATATATTCCAACATAAGCCAATTCATTGAATTAATTAAGCAGAAAATAAAGTAACAACACAAAAATGTATCTATGCTAAGTTGTAAAACTTTGGCACAGCTAGGTCTGAATGTTTCTGTGGTGAAGAAAAATGAGGGGTTAACTTTGTTTTAGCCCGCCCTTATTACATACTCCCTCCGTTTACTTTTACTTATTACTTATTTTTAAAATAGATTTTCAGTTTTACATGTCACTTTTAACATGTATCTATCACTTATTTTTAAAATAGATTTTCAGTTTTACTTGTCACTTTTAACATCTATCTATATATAATAGGAGAGAAAAAAACAACATATGTGTCAGTGTCACAATTATTCTTGAAATTTCAATATTTAAAGAATCAAATTAAAAAAAAAAACACATGTCAGCAATGAAGAAATAATAGATCTTTAGATTCTTTAATATTTGATTTTAAAATATTAAAAATAATTATCTTTCAAATAATTTATTTTCTAATCTAACTACTTCAAATTTTAAAATATATTAATCATGTGTTTGTATGTGAGTAAGAGACGTTTTAATACATTTTTAAAAAAATGAAAAATTACCTATTTACACGCCATTATTTATCCTATTCTCCATTTTTTCCTACCATTTAAAAATATTACAAAAATTTCTATTTTTTATCCAAACCCCAACTGCCCGGATACATTATTCCTCTCCATTCCAAACCCACGTTTCCCCCTCCTAATTTAACTCCTTCAATCTTTCCCTATTTTCACTCCCATTATCAAATCAGTTATCTCCTTCATCTTAATTTGAATTTCAAAATGTTTCTCTCTCTAGTCAATCAATTTCAAATTTATCAATATGTAGTTTCATCTTCTTCACTTTATTATTCTTCGTTTTTTCTAAAAATAATTTTTCATCGATTTTACTGATACATATGGATACTCCTTTGTCTAGTATTGGTACACCTAACACTAATTGAATCTTTGATTATGATAATTCTAAATGGCCCGAAAACAAATCTAAGAGCTTGCATAACCCCATAACAATGGCAAATCAAAGTTCAGAGAGGCAAAAGTAAAGAAGGATGTATGATCTTAGCCGTATTTATATGCCTAAGTTGTCAATATTTGCCCATGAATTGATTGAAGTAACGAATGATCTTGAGTCTATTAGCTAGATTTCGTTATACTTGCGATATTATGCACTAAAACATGTGATTAGAGATTTCAGGAACTCTCGAGGAGATTGGAGTCAAATTGAAAGAAAAGATGCAAGGATATGCCGAAAAGAAGCAAAGGCTGAAGGCCCCAGGGCCAGGCGCACTGCTAGGCGCGAGGCGCCAAGGTCCAACATTCAGAGAGGCCTCTCAGGCATTCTGAGAGGCGCGATGCACCAAGGCCCAACATTCTGGGGCCTTTCTCAGGCGCTCTGAGAGGCGCGACGTGCTAGGGTGGAAACCTCAGAGGTGAAGTTTGGGCGCGATGCTAGGCGCGACACGCCAGCAGGATCACGATTTTTCCAGCTTAAAAGTGTTAAAAAAGGATTCCTAATAGTGATAGACTTTGGCTCGAATTTTCCTACTATTATAAATAGACCCTTAGGTCTCTATTATGGGGGTTCGACTTTTATTGGGTGTGCAAGAGAAAGTATTCATGTTTGTAATAAGTTTTGATCTTTTAACTCTTCTATTTTCTGGAAAATGCATGAACAATTGTATTTTGTGGTTTTCTAATAGCATGAGTGGCTAAACGCCTTAGTTCTGGGGCTGAAGCTACGACTGGATTGTTGATTATTAAAAGCTTGTTGAATTAATTCTTGGTTGTCATTATAAGTTACTTCTATGTTCTTGTTTTAGTATTTTATGATTGATCACCACAAGATAAATATATTGTCTAAACTTGAATCGGGAGAGGAGAGGTTAGATAGACCAGAGAATATAGAGAGCTTGATCGACCCATTAAGTTAAGGTGATTTGTGTTCAGGAGTGACGCCCGGACGAACATCTCGCTTGCTTATGAAACAGGATGAAATATAAATGCTCGCCAGTTAGTCTATTTATCCCCGCTCAACGATGTAGTTAGATAGCTAACTGGGGTAGGCGACTAGATGTATGAACCCGACTCATACAATTAATCCTGTAAATCAGTAACTTGACAACTAAAATTAGTTTTAAGCTAATAAAATGATACATGAGATTCATTGCATGCTGCAACCCTGGAATTGTCTTTTATTTGCTTGAAACATCATCTTAAAGTCGTTCACATTTAATTATGTTTATTTAGTTCATAATTAGTAGTAGTTAACAATCATCACCATCTCTGAAACAGTTACTTCTATTTTATTTATGGATTTAAGTGTTGGATATAAGTTAATCATAAGTCCCTTGGGAACGATAACTCATTTCTTTAAGAATCTACATTACTTGAGCGACCACGTACACTTGCGTGTATATTGGGGAGCAACAAGTTTTTGGCGCTGCTCGGGGACTTAGAAATTGATTTATATTCGATCTTCTTAAGGCTACAATTAGAATATTCAGGTATTAATTACTTGATCTTAGCTTGTTTATTACAGGCACTTGATTTTCAAGTCTGGCTCGAAAGGGAGAACTTGTCGAACCTTACAACGAACCCGAAAGAGTTTTAGGCCAGCACAGAAAAATGAATCAAGGATGTCCAGGAGAATTGGGGTTAGGTGTTCGGGGAAACAATGATGATAATAATCAAGACAACGTGAATAACCCGGAAAATGTGAACAACTAAGAGAACTCGAATAACCAAGGAGTACCCCCTGTCGTACCCGCAAGACCAGTCCATGATGTGGCAGTCCCACTCACAGCCAACTTGGTATCTAGTATTAGGAAACCTCCACCGGGGGGTAGATTTGAACTAAAGCAGGGCATGGTACAACTCCTCCATTATAATGGGCAATTCACGGTCTTCCCCACGAGGATCCTCAAATTCACCTTAGGAACTTTATAGATATTACTGATACATACATCCCAACTGGAGTCTCATCGGATTATGTGAGGCTGACGTTATTTCCATACTCATTGTTAGGAGCCGCAAGGCGTTGGTTAGATTCTGAGTCACCAAACTCCATCACTACTTGGGATATCTAGCAAAGAAGTTCTTGGGTCGATTCTTCCCATCTAAGAAAACTGCTAAGCTGAGGAGTGAGATAAGCTTTACTCAAAACCAGGGAAAGGACATGTATCAAGCATGGGATCGCCAAATGTTGAATGCTTGCCACACCACATGCAAACTAATGAGGTACTTGCTCACAGTTTCTTTGAGGGTCTAGATTATAATGCTCATTCACTTCTTAATAGTGCATCAGGTGGACATGCCCTAGCTAAAACATGTGAAGAGTTGTTCGACTTACTCGATAAACTCTCCGAAGGAAACCAAGTGTATAAGGGGGAAATTCCTAGAACCACAACCCAAAAGGCTGCGAGGATCTTAGGTGTAGATCAAGCTACTACCATAAATGCCACTTACAACCCTAGTTGGAGGAACCATCCTAACTTCTCATGGGGTGGGAACCAAAACCAAAATCAGGCGCAAGGAGCTAACCAATACCATTCTCAAGGGGCTGGGCAACAATACCAAAATCCTAACCCAGGCGCAAATCCTAGTGCACCAAACAGGGGGATGACCAATGAAGAGTTCCCAAAAGCTCATGATTGAAATAGGGACCAAAATAAATGCTAGAATAGATAAGCAGGATGAGAACATCAGAAACATCCACCTGTCCCAGCTGAGTTTAGAGAAACAAGTTGTATAAGTAACCAATTCTCTGAACTTGCATCCCCAAGGTGGGCTACCCGGTGATACTGAACCCAACCCAAAGAAATTGCATGCGGTAAGTACTAGAAGTGGGTTACAATTAGAGGAAATAGCTCCAAAGAAGAGTGAGACTGAGGCCCATCTACGGTCCGTGGATGGTGTCCGTGAATGCCACTTGTAACACCAGAAATCAGAAATCTCTATTTTCGGATACGGGGTGTTACATCCACAAAGGCTCAAAAAGCAGAATGAAGATGAATGTTTCGGTAAGTTTCTCCCTCTCCTTAAACAGGTTCACATTAATCTGCCTTTGATTGACATTTTGCAGGGTATCCCAAAGTATGCTAAATACGTGAAGGACATTGTGACTAGCAAGAGGAGGCTCACGGAGTATGAAACTGTATCACTTATTGAGGAATGCAACTCTAGGATCCAAAATAGACTGCCCAAAAAGTTAAAAGATCTGGGTAGTTTTACTGTGCAAATTACAATTGGGCAAAGTGTTCACGCCCACGGATTGTGTGATTTAGGGGAGAGTATAAATCTGATGCCCTTATCATTGTATCCTTGGGTTGGGTAGTCCAAAAAGAACCACTGTTATTCTCCAACTCACTGATAGATCCATTGCTAGGCCTGAGGGGGTGGTATAAGATGTATTAGTTCAAGTAGGTTCATTGATTTTTCCTGTAGATTTTGTGGTCTTAGATTTTGAACTTGATTCTGAAGTTCCATTCATTTTGGGACGTCCGTTCTTGGCCACGGGTAGGGCATTGATTGATGTAGCAGCTGGTCAAATAACTATGAGGGCGCATGATAAGGTTGAGGTATTCGATGTTTATTGCGCTTTAAAATTGCCTTCTATCTATGAAGAGTTGCTGCTATT